ATGGTAACAGCTGTGAAAAGGTGAAGCGGCCCACCGCTCAGAATATTGCCTTCGCTTTTAAAGCAATTAACCCATGAACAGGAGGATACCTGGTGATATCAAAGGGATTAGACCAGGCAGTGCATTATTAACATTTCCTTGAACTAATTCTAACTCTGACTAGCTGTCAGAAAAGACTCTACTGTCTTAAAAAATAGTTTTCTGCCCTGCTTTTTTCCCCTTCAAATTGAAGCACTGCTATTTGAGCCTAATGTGTCCCTCAACTTATAAGAAAATGCAAATGTACCAAGCTCTTAATATGCTTAACCAGTCCCAGTCAAGGCAATTTTAATACGAGTACGAGAGAAATATATGATCAATTAACCAGGGATCAAGACAGATAGTCTCCTGAATGGAAATGAATGCTCCGGTACTTTACATTCATCTGCAACTACAAAAACTTATGCATAGTTACTGTTGAAATTAGCAAGAGCTTCACATTATTCTCTATGGCAATCATCTAAAATACTCTTTAAGCTGGAAAATCTAAATGTCCCTTAAGCAGGAGATTCTGCATTCTCTAAGGTATGGCATTTTAATTTTCGATTCTTGACTGAATAGAACCTGAGCTGAAGCAGATACACTCCTCTGAATCAGGTGTTCAGCTTTCAAAGTTTAATCAAATTAATTCTTAGCAGCCAGTGCTTACAGATATACAACTTCTGAAAAACACAGACACTCAAATAAAATGCTGGCATAAAACACTGCCAGGAAATATCTATATATTACTGAAATTGAGCCTAAGTTCCTTGCAGTAAGTAGACATAGTTTCAAGGCACCTTTAATTATTGTTAATATTCACATATGCTAGGTAATCAGTTAACAGGAAGAGAGCTGTTTTCTTACTACACGATCTTAATGATGTTTAAATAGTTTTTTTATATAAGTTTCCTGAAAAAGCACTTTTTAGAAAAAAAAAGCTGAAAAATTGCTGATTTTAGTGCTTAGTGACTTAAACTCTTACCTTCTTTAAAATGAGTACTGAATTTATATTATAAAATAGGAGTTTTCCTTTCAGTGAATACAAGTGCTCAACAAATATTGTTAAATGAATTTTACAGTTCCATTTGGCCTGTAAGTTTGAAAACGGTATCCTGACTCCCATGTTAAGAATATATTTCTCAACCTGTAACTACCAAAGTCAAGGATACACGACATGCCTTCATCTGAGATCATAAGCAATTTAAATATTCCCTGAGGTCAAGAATTTCTGTACAATGCTATCAACATTTTCCACAATCTTTTAGGGACAAGAACATCTGAAATGAGAACACGGAGATGTTTAATGATAGTAATTTCAACATTTCTTCTTTAGTTAGTTAGCATTTGAGACCTAGTCTGATGTTTCGTAGAAAATAACTTCTAAATTTCAGTGGTGTTAAATGTTGCTCATATTTGTGATTTGCATATCTTAAACTTTGTAAATTTCATACAAATAGGATCTGTGCATTTCAAATAGGACAGGGCACTTTAAATAATGTATTATCAAATTTCAAAATCTTTTACTTCAATGACCTTAAATGAGAAAATCCCAGATTGTATAAATCATTGGCTGTACTATATAATCGCAACTACACAGATGTACATATTAGTAACATTAATATTACCCCATAAATATGAAATCTATGAAACACCCTTAAATATCTTTCTTCCCTTAAAGAAGTCTGGTGGTACAGTGGTGAAGTGCTTGGCTATAAACCAAAAGGTCGGTGGTTCAAACCCATCAGCTGCCCTGTGGGAGAGCAATGTGGCAGTTTGCTTCTGTAAAGATGTCAGCCTTGGAAACCCTCTAAGGTTGGTAGGAGTCAGAATCGTCTGGATGACAATGGGTTTGGTATGGGTAATTATAGCTTCCATGCTGATATAAAGGCTTAAAACTACTCCATAAATAAATGCATAAGAAACGACAGTCACAACCTTACTGTTTGTAATTCAATAAACGACAGTGATACATATAGCCTTCTAGGTGCTATTTTCCTCATATGCTTTCAACACTGGTGCAAAGCAAACAGAAATGAATTCTTGCCAGCCATTAGCAAAGATTGACAAAAAATGCAGTGTTAATGACATTTTAAGGCTTTTAAAAGCAAGAAAAAGATGCAAGAAAAGCAAAAATTACACAGTAAGTGGAAACAACGAATAAATTGTTCTTTCAATCTAAGTCATGTTTACTGAAAAAAAATGGAGCTCTTAACATCAACACATTTAAACAGAAATTTGCTTTTTGAAATACCATCTTTGTTTAAAAGGTACAGAAGAAGGTCTTTATGTCCACCCCAAGAGCTAAATATAGTGAATGCTATGTGAACAATTACCTGGGGGGAAAAAAAACCTTAAACCTGTTAAAAGAATTAATTTACTGCACGCCAGTCAGCCCTAATCCTACATGTACAGTAATGTTCTTTTAAGTGATTGGGGGTGGGGGAAAATAAAACTGCTTCCCAGATCAAAATCCTCCAACACTCAACAACAAAATGGAATTATGGTTTTGTCTGTAAATGAATAAAGTAGTGAAATGTCTCCTAAACAATTCTGATAAAGGAGTCAACCTGTAAAGGAATACATTTACTGTATGCTGGGAATGAAAAAAAAGCTGTCACTGTAATGACCATACAGAACTGTGTCCTGCTGTTGGGTTTATGTTCACAGAAGAAAGGTTTTAAAGGTTAAGTTCAGGTCATTCAACAAATGAAATTGTAACAAGCCAGCTGACATTGTATAATGTCTTCTTCCACTCAATCAATAGGCTACTGTTAGTCCTATTACCATAGAGATGGCTTGCTCCTTTCTGAAGGGTGTCTATTGTTTGACAAAACAGATTTGCCACTTGAACTAGGTTGTTCCCAAAGGACGTGTACCTTGTCAATTATTTGTACTCAAAATAATGAAGTATTCTCATATTAAAATGTATGTAAGAGATAATATCATTAGATTTTTTTTTTGGGGGGGGAGAAACAAATAAAAAGCAACTTTTTATTTCCAAAGTATTCTAATACTAAAGTCACTCAAATATCCAGTTTAATCATATTAACAGTTCTGACTTAAAACACATCACAGCAAGTAAAAATATATACACAATATCATTAAGACTATGTTAAAAGAAAAGGGTTGCAAGCTAGTGTGCTAATCTAAAACCCATTATAACTGAGTATAATAATAAAAAGGTAGTCTAAAATATAGACAACTCAAATGAAAACTAGACAGTCCAAAGGTTTTTCGAGTCTCTGAAGATAATGATTTTCACAGCAGTTCTCATGTAGGATGGTATCAATTCATTTTTTGAAAAGCATGAAAAAGTCTTAGAAAACAAATCATTTTCTGTGCAGAATAGCTATTTGTATGTACATATTTAACAATTAAAAATAGATGTAAGTGTTATGTAAAGGGTCTTCTAAAATATAACTATAAATATACTTAAAATATAGACATAACTGTTCTACTAAGTACCAAAAAAACAAATATTGGTTTTCTTAAAATGTCTGTATCTTAAATGATCTTTGGAAAATTAATAACATACACATTAACTACAAAATAGAGCAATTCTATATTTCAACCGACATGTTTGAAAATAAAAAAGACCAGTTTTTCTCTCAGAGGAAACACTGGCAGATTCTTAATTATTAAAAACTCAGAAGGAAGAATTCTAATGAAGATTATTCTAACCACTTTGAAAAAGAAAGGACGCATAATATTAATCAGCACAATTAGAGATCTTATTTTAAATATCCTGCACTTAAAGATTTAGCTATCACTAAAAAGCTGTAAGAATGAAATAGAAACAAATTAACTAATATACAGAAACATGTGGTAAGTGAATAACAATGATATTTGATTCTGAAACCTTCAACAAATAAATTTAAAAACAAATCTTAGAGTCAAAATAATGCTAGCTTTTACCATTTCAGAAATAAGAAGGAAATGTAGAAATGATTGCTCTAAAGGACAATTGGTAGCGTAGTGGTTACGAATCGGGCTGTGAACCTCAAGGTCAGCAGTTCGAAACTACCAGCTGTTCCGTGGGAGAAAGATGAGGTGTTCTGCTCCCGTAAAGATTTACAGCCTCGGAAACCCTGTACAGGGTCATTATGGGTTGGAACCGACTCCACGGTACTTAACAACAACAACAAAGGACACTACCATGAAAATATTTGTCTTCAAAAATGTATATGAAATTAGGTCTATTCCAATTTGTTTTTATAATAAAATCAGTAATAAAATTTATGGAAGAAGTCTTGCTTTTTTCCTTTGGAGCAGACAGAATTTGTATTGCTCATTATAATCCTTTTAGGCATAGATTTGAAAGAGTTATGAATCAGGAGAAAGAAACATCAAAGACAAACGAGTTAACCAATATCCGAGAAACTATGACCAATTTTTAAAATGCCAACTAAGAAAGTCTTCCATTATGGAAATAAGTGGGATCTAACTGGCCTGCCTTAGTACTATAATAGACCAAAGTGAAACTATTAGAATCATATCCCAAACTGACTTCCTCAGGTAAAAGCCTCATTGCAAAAAAAAACAAACAAGCAAACCAAAACAGTACATGTTCATGTTTAGAACGCAGTGTAATTAGATAGTACCACTGGCCCTGAAAGGCAGCTGCCCATCAGCAATACTGTGATTAATTCAATGATATTTACCATTTAGCAAGAGATGAACTTCAAATTGTTAAATTAAACTGGTCCATCTGCATCTTCATAAAATGACACACCTCATTAGTTCGGCCTAACCAGAGAATTGTCATCACAAGCTGGTGACACCCTCACTGCAATATGCAAAGCGAAAGCAACTGTGTAAATCATTCAAGGGTCAAATGCATACAAAATCACTGTAAATTTGAGACAGTGAAATCACATGACTTAGGAAAACCATTCAAGCGACATTTTTCTCTCTTCTAATTTAACCAACATGAGCAAGGAGATTAATTAAGCTTAATCTTAGCTTATCAACTACTTTACCTGAAAACGGTGAAAAAAAGTAACGAGGCAGCTATTGCTCCAAATAAGCCACAGAGGAGATTGACCCGGAAGGCAACGGAACCGAAAGGTAATAGTACAATTGCCAGTTTAGCAATCAGAGTGAACAAAGGGTAGCCAGGAGGATGGGCAACCTAGGGAAAAAGGAGCAACAGTTAGAAGGTTTGTACCCAGTAATGGAATAGTCACACTGGCTTTAATTGAAAAGTAACTCTTTTTCTCAGACAAATATAGTGACTAAGTGCCAATGACTAAACGTTTGAATAGTGGTTTTGTATTGTAATCCTCTTGTGCCAATACAAATAAATATTTTCTTTAGTGGATTTGGCAGCATCTATCACATGGTGCATTACCTAGAGAAAGGGTGACATATTTCATTGCTAGTTCTTAAGCAGTCTGTTCTCTGGGTTCACAGTACATTAAGGTCGTTTTAAACGCTGTTGAAAAAAAGCAGGTTCTGAAATATCGTATTGGTTAGAAAGTTGAAGACAGACCACACTGCTATCGGATTACCACCAAGCTGACAGTCCTTAGGTCTTGCCTAAAGGGATCATGCACTATAATAAAGTTTATTAAATAATAAACTTATTAAAAGTGTTAACCCGATTTATTTTATTCTCCACAGCTTATACAAAATTTGGGGTGATAATAAGGCAGCTACTGTATATATAGTAAAAGCTTTTCTTTATAATTTAGTTTAATTGGATTTAGAACTTACAGTAAATTGTCACGTACTCTACTTATAAGTTAGCAAAAACTGGGGTTTGAAAATAAATTAATCTACTTTACTCCATGCTTAATTAAACTTTCTTAATTCCTAAAACTGTTAATGAGAGCATTGATTAAACAATAAAACGAATACTTACTCCAAGCTCATATGCGGCTGTGATCAGTTCCCCTGTGAAACAATAATGTAAAACCAATAATTACTATTAGAAAGGGACACTCCTCCAAAGTTTCCAAAATCCAAACGCTTGCATTGGGGTTTTGCATTAATTTGACTGGATAAAACTGTAAATCTATAGAGATTTAAAAGCATGAGGATATTTTCTTCTTTAGTTCTTACTGAACAAACTATCTTTGGTAGTTTTTAGTAACTGGTCAGTGGAACTGACCAATTTACAAAATGCTTTGATTTTCCCTTCTGAAAGACTTGTATACATCTGTGAATATACAATTACTGCTGCAAAGCAGTACTGTAATATGATATACTATCCCCCAAGAACTTAGCATAGAACCATCTATAAAGATGGTTTCATACTATGGAAAATTTCCTACTATGGAAAATGTGTAGACTACTCTGGTAGCATAGTGGTTAAGAATCGGGCTGCGAACCGCAAGGTCAGCAGTTTGAAACTACCAGCTGTTACGTGGGGGAAAGATGAGACTTTCTGCTCCCGTAAATATTTATAGCCCCGGACACCCTGTACAGGGTCGCTATGGGTCGGAACCAACTCCATGGCACATAACAACTACATAAAATGTGCCATAGCTCTGGCTTTAGGATACCTTCTCTGTATTAACTACATTGGATATCTTGGAATAAATTCCTAGTGTTTATTAATTCCAGGTTATTTTGTTAAGTAAACTTTAACAGTTTTTCAAACCATTAAACCATTATCTATATTATTATATAGTCCTCCTTGTCAGTTCCTCAATATTAATATGCAATCATTCAATGTCTATTTGTTAGACAACATTTTAAGTATCCACAGCACAGACATTGTTTTTTCTTTATCCCTCCACACTGTAATGCACACACACAGTAGGAAATCGATCAATATTAATTGATGAATACCTTACGAAAGTTACTAACTTGGAAATGTATTAATGTTCACTTTCTACCATTCAATGGATATCAGTACTCTTCATTTGTACTGCCTTTAGACACTAGAAATTTAGACTTTCCCTTCTCAGGCCTAGAACGACAGCAATGAAATTGATTTGTATTCTGCCTCAACTCATCTTCACATTGAAATCACTTATTAACCATTCCGCTACTTGACATTCTACCGCCAACCACCACCAAAAAAACCCCAACAAAACAGTATCATTCCCTAGGTGAAAATTCCTCGATGGTTGCTGTCTGCTTTATGACGACTTCCAGATTGCACAGAACAACAGGGAAGGTCTCCCAGGCTTCAAGGTCCCTCTGCCAGGCCGATATCCATGAAGCCTGTGCTCTCTTCATCAAATCTGATCACCCACTGTTCCTCTGGAGTGCCCCTCTTTTGCACCTTCTCTCACTCTGGGATATTTTCCTCAGCGTTCTCCTCTGTATCCTTCAAGGGCTAGTTCAATTGCCACTTCCTCAGTGACACCTTGTCTCACACACAATCCCTCTCCTGCCTTGTGGCCCCCCAGCACAATTTATCATTTCTTTATCCTTTTCCAGAATTTTACTCAATCCTTTCTACGAGGGAGCTTCAAAAAGTTCAGGGGCAAATGGGATTAAAAGTAATGGGATTCTTCAGTGAACTTTTTGAAGCCCTCTCTTACTGATATTGTCAGATATTTTGGTTATAGTTGTTTTCATTCCCGTCTCTCACACTAAGTTAAAAATAGTATTCCACCCAGTCTCGGACCCTGATAAAGACATCACCTCCTATAGCCCCACATAAGGAACCAATTTAAGTCCCGCACATTGTGACTGACAAACAGACAACACCGTTGTCAGCCTTACTACTGAAGACACCGTGAGAATCACTGATTGCCGCACGGAAACCTCGTGTTGCTGCTGTGTGCTGTCTAGTCGACTCTGACTCATTGAGGCCCCATATGAGTAGAACGAGGGGTCCTAGACTGTCATCTGTATGGGAGGAGATTACCAGATCTTTTCTTCTGAGAAGGCACGGGTGGATTTGAACCACTGACCTTTTGATTAGCAGCTGAGTACTTACACTCCTATGATCCCACCACTGCTCCTGGAAATCCCATAAGGGAACAGAAAGATAACAAATCACTTGGACAAATTACTTAAGAACATCAGGTTTTCTGGAGAGATTCAAGAGCACCTTGGAAACCAAAGCTACTTTTTTATATGTTAAACACCTTTAAAAGTAAATTTTAAATGGCTGAAAATGTTTAAAAGTTGTGTTCCCTTTCTAACTACTATCACAGATGTTGTAGTTGTTGTTAAGTGCTGTGGAGTCGATTGCAACTCATAGCGACCCTGTACAGGGTTACAGAGGCGATACATCTTTGCAGGAGCAGAAAGCCTCATCCTGTGGAGCACTGGTGGGCTTGAAGCACAGACCTTGTGGTTCACACTCCATTGCTTATCGTAAAGTCACTGTGCTCCGAATGTCCAAGACAGGTAAGATTTTATAGTTTCCGCCCAAGCCCACAGCCACCGAGTCGAGTCTGACTGACCGTGACTGCCCTACAGCATCACCCGGATGACATCTTTCTCCCATGCAGTGGCTGCTACTTTTGAGTCTCCAACATTGTGGTTAGCAGCCCAACTTGTAAAACACTGCATGGCCACGACTCCTTCGAATGGCTTCAAAACCCATTGCTGCCAAGTCCATTCCCACTCACACTGATCTAGAGGGCAGAAGCGAACTGTCCTGAAGGGTTTCCAAGGCCATAAAGCTTTATGGAAACTGACACCACATCTTACTCGTAGGAGCAGCCACAGTTTCGGTTAGCAGTTGAACACTGAAATTACTACACTACCACGGCTTTCCCAATGTTGCTGGTGGGTGCTGTTGACAGCTGTCACATCGGTTCCAATTTATAGTGACCCTGCGTATTGGGTTTCCAAGGAGCCACTGGTAGGTTTGAACCGCTGACCTTGAAGGAAGCAGTCCAGCGCTTATCCTACAGCACCACACCAAGACTTTGTTGTTCTTCTTCTTATGTGCCAGCTAGTCAATTCCCACTCATAGATCTTGTCTAGGGTTTCTGAGTCTATGAATCTTTGAGGGTGTAGAAGCCCTCCTCTTTTTCCCAAAGAGTAGCTGATAAGGTCAAATTGCTGACTTGTGGTTTGCAGTCCAGTGCTTACTCTACAGAGTCACTGTACTTCTGCGGCAGGACTTTAGACCTTTTAAAATGTCTTCAATCCCACATGGTTTTAAACAAACTCCTTATTCCGTTGTTACTCTGTAAGTGAAGTAGACCTGGTGTCTTCTCATCTCCTGACTCATCACAGTTTTACACAGTTGGACAGAGCTACCCAACAAAACAGGTTCCCAAGGCTGTCATCTTTACTGAAGCCAATTGCCATGTCTTCCTCCTATAGATAAGCTCGTGGGTTCCAACAGTCAACCTTCTAGTTAGCAGTCAAGTCCTTGAACAAGTGCTGTCAGGTGTCCATCTAGAAGGTATACAAAGGGACTTCAAAAAGCTGGAGGAAAAAAGTTATTTCTTAATTCCATTTTTTTCCACAAACTTTTTTGAAGCCTCCTCACATCTAAGCTTAAATTTTCAAGCACCATTCATTCTCCTATATTTAAAAGTATTACTTAGGCTTGGCTTAGACTTCACATTAAAAGAGATACTGTTACATTATGCTAGCACTAAAAGAGACTATTTTCTACAACTTCTCACTGCTAAAAAGTTAATATGCTGATTTTCTTTGTTGGAGTTATGTTGGTATAGAGATAAATCTGGAATGTAAAAACTTCATCATCCACTATAAGGTAATGTTAAACTAAAATCCAGAGAGAAAAGATGCTACTGTTCAGAGCCTGCATATGTATCCTTGATAAAGAGCTAAAGGGAAATACTGCTCTTAAAATGTAATGTCGCAGAGGGGTCAACAGTAATGACACTCATGAACCTCCAAGGTCTCTGCTCTCGTCCAACCCTTCACATTGGGGTTTCCTCAAAGTTACTGCTTGCTTTTGAAAACGCAAGATTCCTTGACCATATCCCAAAGCTACTTAATCCAGTAAGACTCCTCAGTTTCCAATGCGATTCTGAAGTCAAAGTACGCTCAAGCTTGGGAATCATTAACTGCCTCGTGATGAGACTTGTCAGCAGTTTTGCTTCATAGCTAAAAATTTTAAAAACCAGTTCATCTTTACATTGTACATCTTGTATTATTACACTATTATATTCTCATGTCAAGTCTGCTATGGCAGACTCTTCAAAGTATACAAACATCAGTATAAACTGGACTATTTACCCCAAGAATAACAAATAAAAGTAAAATCAGAAATAAGTAAAAATGCAAATACAATTAAAAAGACGAAAGCGTGCAAATGCTTGGTGACTGAAGGCTATTGGTGGGTACTGTTTGGTGAGTTTCTGTTCAAGAAGGTGGGGGTAGAGGAGTGAAGTCTAGATTTCCACCTCCTGCCCCACAGGATTTTTGAGCATTTCTGGCCTCACTTTTATCTAAATGAACTATATTTGAGACAAAAGAAAACAAGTTTAACAAAGTTACATAATGTGATGGGTGTGAAATGACTAAGATTCATCTGGAAGAATGCATGCTGTATATTGATTTTATGATGGCTTCTGTTTATTGACAGGAAATGTATTTCATCAAAACAAATATTACAGGAGGACATTAAACAAAATTACCAAAGATATGATTATGTAAACTTTCCATACTGGCATACCCTTGGAAAGCAACTTATTTATCATTCCCCCCTCCAAAAAAAGAAGAGGCTAATATTTAGGAGCAACCACTTTAGTGTGAAAGTAAACAAATTAGAAGATATAAAAAGTTTGGTAACTCAAGGTTCATAACTTTACTCTTGGGAGAAAAATTTCAATGCATTACTAATAGAGGCAAGGCAGTAATCTTAGACTTTAGATATTACTACATATGTGATGGCAGATTTAATCAAAAATTTCGTAAGATTCTTTGACAAAGAACAGAGGTTAAAAGAGCATTTTTTTCCCAGGGGTCATCAAGGTCAATTGGCATAGTCCACAAAGACA